TCGCCCCTCTAAAGCAGTGCCAAATTTAGGTGAGAAGGCACGTGAGGTCCACGGCTGCCAGCCCAGGGCTCCGAGAAGCCACGCCTGCCTTCCAATTCCAGAGACACACTGTGTTGGAGGAGGAGGTGGGCCAGTGTCACAGGGCATGAGGCATCGTCCCTGTACCTGACAACACTGCACACCCCTGCGGAAGCCAGGAGGAAAAACACACTGGCACCGACACCCAGACTCAGCTTCCAAGTTGGCCTCCGGTTTCCACCGGCTCCGGTCTGGGAGGCCAGCAGGGCCCCTCCTTCTCCTCAGATGGACAGACAACAGCTGCTCTGGTCACATCCTCCGAGCCTCGGCCATAAACCCGGGGAGGTGAGCAGCCTCCTCCATCCTCCAGCCAAGGGCTTGGGTTTCCAACCAGCCTCCCTCTTCCTTCCCCAGAACTAATTTTAGCCTCCTTGGTTGTCAGAGTGGAACTGAAATAGTCGGCAGAGGGACATTCGCAAACCAGAGCATGAGCCTGCCTCCCAAAACACCCCAGCCCCAGCCCCTGCAGAGAACGGTCCCCGGGGAGGAGGGTCACGCACGCGCCCAGTGGAGCAGGCTTCCTTCCCAACACCGGCTTCCAGCGATCACGTGCCAGGGAATGAGAACACGCAGCCGGAGCTGCCAGGCCCAGGGGCTCTGAAAGAGGCACACGTATGGACACAGCCTGATGGGACCAGGCAGGGCAAGCCAGCTGCCTGACCACACACCTCCGGCACCGACCGCTGGCCCGGACGTGCGTATCACTGACAGTCCCGGAACCAAGACTCGCGGGCCAGCGGCAGCGTCTCCTCCACCAAGCAGCCTGGGCTTGCGGGGACGGCGCCGCCAGCACACGACGGACGGGGAGCGCTGGGGCCGGCACGGGCCTGCGAGTCCGGTGCACAGCGAGACCAAAGAGGAAGCCCAAAACAAGGCGGTGAGTGGCTGCAACAGAGACCTGGAGACGGAATGGGAGGGACGGGAAGGAAGACAAACCCCAGAGGAGACAGGAAAATCTCACCCCCAGCGAGCCCGTCACCCACCAGCGAGGTGGGCACTTCCTCCCGGCACAGAGAGGCGGAGTCCCCGAGAGGGCTCTCCCCAGCACAGCTCCGTAGCAGGCGGCAGCAGCTGCTCCTCTCTGGCCTCCACGGCAGTGCTGCCCCCACACCTCCCTCCCCAGGCCCAGAGGCGGTGGCCTGGGCCTGCCTGGACTGCCGTGCACCCCGAGGGGAGGGGAAAGACTTGTGCTGTACCTGTGGAGTGAGGCTGCCCCTCTGCCCTGGAGTCCCCGGCCTGGGCGCTCCAGGGCCACAGCCGCCTCGGCTCCCGGGAGCGCCGGGGGCCTGGCCCGCTGCGGGGGAAGGGCATGCCTGGTCCCGCGGCGACCCCCGCACTCCTCCTGGCAGGCAGGGGCAGCCTCAGCTCGCGCGGCTCCCCGGTGAGCAGAAAGGGGGTACCGGGCAGGCAGAGAGGCCCCTGCGACAGGCACTTCCTGACATGCTGTGCGTGCGGGAGGGAGAGGCCAGAGCACCAGCCTCAAGGCGACGGGCAGGGGGTGGGCGGGTGCAGGCAGGCAGGCTGCCCGGCCACCCACAACTGCCACCTCCCTGAAACCCGAACCACTTCTGGGAAAACTCAAGGACGCCAGGATTCTCCGGCAGCAAGCGGTGAGCCACGCATTCTGAACCAAACTCACACCGGAGCAGGACAGGGCGAGAGGCCCCGCCTTGGCATGGAGATGCGACCTCTGATCCTCTGATCCCAAGGGGGGTGGGGCGCACTAGCCAGTCACCTTCTCCATCTCCCACCCGTCTGCCTCGCCAAAACCCAGAGCATTCTAGGCCACAGCGCCCCACCTCCGCCAGGGAGGTCCTGATTAGAGCTCCTGGGATGAGGGTGGAGGCCAGGAGGCTGCAGACCGTCGTCCTGCAGGGCCGGAGCAGCAGGGCACACAGCCAAGTCCCAAGTGACAAGACCAAGAAGCCCTGCTCTCCATGAAGCCAGTGCCTCAGGGCTGTCCATCCAGGCACCCACAAAACAATACTCAACCTGCCACCGGCCTCCGGCCCCCAGATCCCAGGCCCGGTGACAGGGCAGGACCTGCATCCTGGGCTGATCCCCCTTGGTGTCTGCTGGCTCCCAAGCAGGGCATAAACGCACGGGTGCCAGGGCAACTTCCTGGGAGAGGAGGAAGCGGAACCCTGGGAAGAACCACAAAAGGCAGGAGAGGACAACAGCAGTGGCCAGGACAGGCTAGGCAGAGCAGAGACACGCCGCAGTCGGCGACAAGCCGCCCTCAGACAGGCTAGGCAGAGCAGCGACACCCCGCACTCGGCGACAAGCCGCCCTCAGACAGGCTAGGCAGAGACACACCCCACTCGGCGACAAGCCGCCCTCAGACAGGCTAGGCAGAGACACACCACACTCGGCGACAAGCCGCCCTCAGACAGGCTGGGCAGAGACACACCACACTCGGCGACAAGCCGCCCTCAGACAGGCTAGGCAGAGACACACCGCCCTCGGCGACAAGCCGCCCTCAGACAGGCTAGGCAGAGCAGAGACACACCGCACTCGGCGACAAGCCGCCCTCAGACAGGCTAGGCAGAGACACACCGCCCTCGGCGACAAGCCGCCCTCAGACAGGCTAGGCAGAGACACACCGCAGTCGGCGACAAGCCACCCTCAGACAGGCTAGGCAGAGCAGAGACACGCCGCACTCGGCGACAAGCCGCCCTCAGACAGGCTAGGCAGAGACACACCGCCCTCGGCGACAAGCCGCCCTCAGACAGGCTAGGCAGAGCAGCGACACCCCGCACTCAGGAACAAGCCGCCCTCAGACAGGCTAGGCAGAGACACACCGCACTCGGCGACAAGCCGCCCTCAGACAGGCTAGGCAGAGACACCGCACTCGGCGACAAGCTGCCCTCAGACAGGCTAGGCAGAGACACACCGCAGTCGGCGACAAGCCGCCCTCAGACAGGCTAGGCAGAGACACCGCACTCGGCGACAAGCCGCCCTCAGACAGGCTAGGCAGAGACACACCGCCCTCGGCGACAAGCCGCCCTCAGACAGGCTAGGCAGAGCAGCGACACCCCGCACTCAGGAACAAGCCGCCCTCAGACAGGCTAGGCAGAGACACACCGCAGTCGGCGACAAGCCGCCCTCAGACAGGCTAGGCAGAGACACCGCACTCGGCGACAAGCCGCCCTCAGACAGGCTAGGCAGAGACACCGCACTCGGCGACAAGCCGCCCTCAGACAGGCTAGGCAGAGACACCGCACTCGGCGACAAGCCGCCCTCAGACAGGCTAGGCAGAGACACACCACACTCGGCGACAAGCCGCCCTCAGACAGGCTAGGCAGAGACACACCGCACTCGGCGACAAGCCGCCCTCAGACAGGCTAGGCAGAGCAGCGACACCCCGCACTCGGCGACAAGCCGCCCTCAGACAGGCTAGGCAGAGACACACCACACTCGGCGACAAGCCGCCCTCAGACAGGCTAGGCAGAGACACACCGCCCTCGGCGACAAGCCGCCCTCAGACAGGCTAGGCAGAGCAGCGACACCCCGCACTCAGGAACAAGCCGCCCTCAGACAGGCTAGGCAGAGACACACCGCAGTCGGCGACAAGCCGCCCTCAGACAGGCTAGGCAGAGACACCGCACTCGGCGACAAGCCGCCCTCAGACAGGCTAGGCAGAGACACACCGCACTCGGCGACAAGCCGCCCTCAGACAGGCTAGGCAGAGACACACCACACTCGGCGACAAGCCGCCCTCAGACAGGCTAGGCAGAGACACACCACACTCGGCGACAAGCCGCCCTCAGACAGGCTAGGCAGAGACACACCGCCCTCGGCGACAAGCCGCCCTCAGACAGGCTAGGCAGAGACACCGCACTCGGCGACAAGCCGCCCTCAGACAGGCTAGGCAGAGACACACCACACTCGGCGACAAGCCGCCCTCAGACAGGCTAGGCAGAGACACACCACACTCGGCGACAAGCCGCCCTCAGACAGGCTAGGCAGAGACACCGCACTCGGCGACAAGCCGCCCTCAGACAGGCTAGGCAGAGACACCGCACTCGGCGACAAGCCGCCCTCAGACAGGCTAGGCAGAGACACACCACACTCGGCGACAAGCCGCCCTCAGACAGGCTAGGCAGAGACACCGCACTCGGCGACAAGCCGCCCTCAGACAGGCTAGGCAGAGACACACCACACTCGGCGACAAGCCGCCCTCAGACAGGCTAGGCAGAGACACACCACACTCGGCGACAAGCCGCCCTCAGACAGGCTAGGCAGAGACACCGCACTCGGCGACAAGCCGCCCTCAGACAGGCTAGGCAGAGACACCGCACTCGGCGACAAGCCGCCCTCAGACAGGCTAGGCAGAGACACACCGCACTCGGGGACAAGCCGCCCTCAGACAGGCTAGGCAGAGACACACCCCACTCGAGGACAAGCCACCCTCAGACAGGCTAGGCAGAGACACCGCACTCGGGAACAAGCCACCCTCAGACAGGCTAGGCAGAGACACACCGCACTCGGCGACAAGCCGCCCTCAGGCTAGGCAGAGACACACCACACTGGGGGACAAGCCGCCCTCAGAAGGGCGGCCAGGACTTCCAGGAGCTGACACGAGGGCAGCAGGATGCCAGTATCAATGCAAAGCACTGTACACAGGTACACACAGAGCACACACACACAGTGCACTTACAGTGCACTCGCACTCAGAGCATGTACACACACACTACAGTGCACACTCACACCGTGCACACTCACACTGTGCACACTCACACAGTGCATACTGTACTCACACAGTGCAATTACAGTGCACTCGCACTCAGAGCATGCACACACATGGTACACACACAATACACAGTGCACACTCACACTCAGTGTACACTCTGCACATTCAGTGCATTTACACAATGCACAGTGCACTCACACCCACAGTGCATATACACACATGATACACACTCACACAATGCACAGTGCATTTGCACTCACAGTGCATTCACACACAATACACACACGGTACACACTGCACACTCAGTGTATTTGCACAGTGCACTCACACCCACAGTGCAGATACACACGTCACACAGCACACACAGTGCACTCACTCACAGTGCATACACACGTACACAGTACACACAGTGCACTCACTCACAGTGCATACACACGTCACACAGTACACACAGTGCACTCACTCACAGTGCATACACACATACACAGTACACACAGTGCACTCACTCACAGTGCATACACACGTACACAGCACACACAGTGCACTCACTCACAGTGCATACACACGTACACAGTACACACAGTGCACTCACTCACAGTGCATACACACGTCACACAGCACACACAGTGCACTCACTCACAGTGCATACACACGTCACACAGCACACACAGTGCACTCACTCACAGTGCATACACACGTCACACAGCACACACAGTGCACTCACTCACAGTGCATACACACGTCACACAGCACACACAGTGCACTCACAGTGCATACACACGTCACACAGTACACACAGTGCACTCTCACAGTGCATACACACGTCACACAGCACACACAGTGCACTCACTCACAGTGCATACACACGTACACAGCACACACAGTGCACTCACTCACAGTGCATACACACGTACACAGCACACACAGTGCACTCACTCACAGTGCATACACACGTCACACAGCACACACAGTGCACTTGCAGTGCAGATACACACATGCTACACACACGGTACATTTACACAGCACACACAGTGCACTCACTCACAGTGCATACACACGTCACACAGCACACACAGTGCACTCACTCACAGTGCATACACGCGTACACAGTACACACAGTGCACTCACTCACAGTGCATACACACGTCACACAGCACACACAGTGCACTCACTCACAGTGCATACACACGTACACAGCACACACAGTGCACTCACTCAGTGCATACACACGTCACACAGTACACACAGTGCACTCACTCACAGTGCATACACACGTACACAGTACACACAGTGCACTCACTCACAGTGCATACACGCGTCACACAGCACACACAGTGCACTCACTCAGTGCATACACACGTCACACAGTACACACAGTGCACTCACTCAGTGCATACACACGTACACAGTACACACAGTGCACTCACTCACAGTGCATACACACGTCACACAGTACACACAGTGCACTCACTCACAGTGCATACACACGTCACACAGCACACACAGTGCACTCACTCACAGTGCATACACACGTACACAGTACACACAGTGCACTCACTCACAGTGCATACACACGTACACAGCACACACAGTGCACTCACTCACAGTGCATACACACGTACACAGCACACACAGTGCACTCACTCACATGCATACACGCGTCACACAGTACACACAGTGCACTCACTCACAGTGCATACACACGTACACAGTACACACAGTGCACTCACTCACAGTGCATACACACGTCACACAGTACACACAGTGCACTCTCACAGTGCATACACACGTCACACAGCACACACAGTGCACTCACTCACAGTGCATACACACGTCACACAGCACACACAGTGCACTCACTCACAGTGCATACACACGTACACAGTACACACAGTGCACTCACTCACAGTGCATACACACGTCACACAGTACACACAGTGCACTCACTCACAGTGCATACACACGTCACACAGTACACACAGTGCACTCACTCACAGTGCATACACACGTACACAGCACACACAGTGCACTCACTCACAGTGCATACACACGTCACACAGTACACACAGTGCACTCACTCACAGTGCATACACACGTCACACAGTACACACAGTGCACTCACTCACAGTGCATACACACGTACACAGCACACACAGTGCACTCACTCACAGTGCATACACACGTCACACAGTACACACAGTGCACTCACTCACAGTGCATACACACGTCACACAGTACACACAGTGCACTCACTCACAGTGCATACACACGTACACAGCACACACAGTGCACTCACTCACAGTGCATACACACGTACACAGTACACACAGTGCACTCTCACAGTGCATACACACGTACACAGTACACACAGTGCACTCACAGTGCATACACACGTCACACAGTACACACAGTGCACTCACTCACAGTGCATACACGCGTCACACAGCACACACAGTGCACTCACAGTGCATACACACGTCACACAGTACACACAGTGCACTCACACCCACAGTGCATACACACGTACACAGTACACACAGTGCACTCACTCACAGTGCATACACACGTCACACAGTACACACAGTGCACTCTCACAGTGCATACACACGTCACACAGTACACACAGTGCACTCACAGTGCATACACACGTACACAGTACACACAGTGCACTCACTCACAGTGCATACACACGTACACAGCACACACAGTGCACTCACTCACATGCATACACGCGTCACACAGTACACACAGTGCACTCACTCACAGTGCATACACACGTACACAGTACACACAGTGCACTCACTCACAGTGCATACACACGTCACACAGTACACACAGTGCACTCTCACAGTGCATACACACGTCACACAGCACACACAGTGCACTCACTCACAGTGCATACACACGTCACACAGCACACACAGTGCACTCACTCACAGTGCATACACACGTACACAGTACACACAGTGCACTCACTCACAGTGCATACACACGTCACACAGCACACACAGTGCACTCTCACAGTGCATACACACGTACACAGCACACACAGTGCACTCACTCACAGTGCATACACACGTACACAGTACACACAGTGCACTCTCACAGTGCATACACACGTACACAGTACACACAGTGCACTCTCACAGTGCATACACACGTACACAGCACACACAGTGCACTCACTCACAGTGCATACACGCGTCACACAGCACACACAGTGCACTCACTCACAGTGCATACACACGTACACAGCACACACAGTGCACTCACTCACAGTGCATACACACGTCACACAGTACACACAGTGCACTCACTCACAGTGCATACACACGTCACACAGCACACACAGTGCACTCACTCACAGTGCATACACACGTCACACAGCACACACAGTGCACTCACTCACAGTGCATACACACGTCACACAGCACACACAGTGCACTCACTCACAGTGCATACACACGTACACAGCACACACAGTGCACTCACTCACAGTGCATACACACGTCACACAGTACACACAGTGCACTCACTCACAGTGCATACACACGTACACAGCACACACAGTGCACTCACTCACAGTGCATACACACGTACACAGTACACACAGTGCACTCTCACAGTGCATACACACGTCACACAGCACACACAGTGCACTCACTCACAGTGCATACACGCGTCACACAGCACACACAGTGCACTCACTCACAGTGCATACACACGTACACAGTACACACAGTGCACTCTCACAGTGCATACACACGTCACACAGTACACACAGTGCACTCTCACAGTGCATACACACGTCACACAGCACACACAGTGCACTCACTCACAGTGCATACACACGTACACAGCACACACAGTGCACTCACTCACAGTGCATACACGCGTCACACAGTACACACAGTGCACTCACTCACAGTGCATACACACGTACACAGTACACACAGTGCACTCACTCACAGTGCATACACGCGTCACACAGCACACACAGTGCACTCTCACAGTGCATACACACGTCACACAGCACACACAGTGCACTCACTCACAGTGCATACACACGTACACAGCACACACAGTGCACTCACTCACAGTGCATACACACGTCACACAGTACACACAGTGCACTCACTCACAGTGCATACACACGTACACAGTACACACAGTGCACTCACTCACAGTGCATACACACGTACACAGTACACACAGTGCACTCACTCACAGTGCATACACGCGTACACAGTACACACAGTGCACTCACTCACAGTGCATACACACGTCACACAGCACACACAGTGCACTCACTCACAGTGCATACACACGTCACACAGCACACACAGTGCACTCACTCACAGTGCATACACACGTCACACAGCACACACAGTGCACTCACTCACAGTGCATACACGCGTCACACAGCACACACAGTGCACTCACTCAGTGCATACACACGTACACAGTACACACAGTGCACTCACTCACAGTGCATACACACGTCACACAGTACACACAGTGCACTCACTCACAGTGCATACACACGTACACAGTACACACAGTGCACTCACTCACAGTGCATACACACGTACACAGTACACACAGTGCACTCTCACAGTGCATACACACGTCACACAGTACACACAGTGCACTCACTCACAGTGCATACACACGTCACACAGTACACACAGTGCACTCACTCACAGTGCATACACACGTCACACAGCACACACAGTGCACTCACAGTGCATACACACGTACACAGTACACACAGTGCACTTGCAGTGCATATACTCGCACGGTACACATTCACTCAGTGCACACTCATGCACAGTGCATGCTCACACAGCACATTTACACAGTGCACACCCAGTGCATTTGCACTCACAGTGCACATACACACACAGTACACACTCATGGCACACTCACACCATATATTTACGCTGTGCACACACAGTGCATTTGCACTCAAGGTGCATATACACACACAGTACACACTCATGGCACACTCACACCATATATTTTCACTGTGCACACACAGTGCATTTGCACTCAAGGTGCATATACACACACAGTACACACTCATGTACACACTCACAGTGCACATTCACACTCTGCATTTCCACAGTGCACACACAGTGCATTCCCATGCACAGTACATATACACACGGTACACTCACACAGTACACACACTGTGCACAGTGCCCTCACACAGTGCACACTCACACTGCATTCACACACAGTGCACACTCACAGTGCATTCATACACAGTACACAGTGCACATGCACACACAGTGCACTTACAGTGTACGTGCACAGTGCATTCACAGTACACACACTGCACATGCACACACATTGCACAGTGTACTCACAGTGCACTCACACACAGTACACACAGTACACACACACAGTGCACTCACACACTGCACATGCACACTCACTGCACAGTGTACTCACACAGTGCACTCACACAGTACTCACACAGTACACACACACAACACACATGCACACTCACTGCACAGTGTACTCACACAGTACACACACAACACACATGCACACACACTGTGCAGTGTGCTCACAGTGCACTCACACAGTGCACACTCACACACCGCACATGCACACTCACTGCACAGTGTACACACACACCGCACATGCACACACATGTGGGTATTTCTACTTCTCTGGAGTCCAGTCTGGGGCACGGGGGCCATGGTGTAGAACGGGGGCTCTGCACTGGGCCCCTGCAAAGGGAGTGCCTACAGTAAAGTGCCCAGGGCTTTGGGGGGATTCCCCGTGTCACAGAGACCCACTCAAGCAGTGGGAGGCCGCATGGCCGAGCCTCAAGCTCTTACCAAGGGCAGGGTCTGGAGGCATGGGCGAGTTTTCCACATCATCTGCCTCGGAAGAGCCTCGAAGAGCTGAGGAGGGAGCCCACCTCCCCAAGGCAGCCCAGCAGGCCATGGGGCAGCATGCAGTGAGCAGCAATGTCAGGACAGGCAGAAGACGCCCTGCCGTGGCTCCGTAGCCCACGTCCTTGGTCAAAGCCACTTCACTCACTCCCTGCTACAAACCCATGGAGGGCACGGGCAAGGAACACCTCTGGGTCTGAGAGCAGCCAACCCACAAGGACCTGCACTTCCGATGGGACAGACAGGAGACCCCTCCCCTCCCCAGTCAGGCCCACCCAGAGCTCGGCTCCACCTCTCCCTGCAGGCCTTCTAATTGAGCCCCACGCAGAGCCCCATGGCAGGAGCTCTACAGGACACACGCGATTGTCTGGGACGTCCACTGCAATGCAAGGGCCAGACCGGTCCCTCCCAAGGACACCGGGCCAGGCACAGAGGGCTTGCAGAGCTGACACTGACAAGTACCAAGTGCCATTACTACAGCCTAAGTCCTGCCTCTTCTTCCAGGGCTGTGCTGTCCCGGTGTGATGAAGCAGAAATCAGACACCTGCACTCAGAACGAAGACGCTCCATGAGCGCTGATGGAGTTTAGACAGCACAAACGCCCAAGTGCTCGGGCCCCTGCACCCACGTGGGAGACCTGGAAGAAGCTCCTGGCTCCTGGCTTCAGATCAGCCCAGCTCAGGAGTTTGTGGCCATTTGGAGAGTGAACCAGTGATGGAAGACCTTTCTCTCTGCCTCTCAAATAAATAAATAAAAATCTTTTTTAAAAAGGTAATTTTATTTTAGTGCAAAAAAAAATTGCGATCCAAGCATCTTCCCCATAATATGCATGTATGTATAAGCATTTTCGGTTTCGTTCGGTACCGAAACAAACTTGGCCTGTAACTGCACTCTCCAAGAGCTTCCCGAAGTCCGCGCGCACGAGGTTCACGCTGGCCCGCTGGGCGCCCAGCGCTGCTCTAGATCTTGGTCCCAGCGGGGCGGGACCGGGGCTTGAAGGAAAGGCACGGCTGCGGGTGGGGGGCAGGAGGGCCCGGGCGCCCCACCGGCCCCGGCGCGGTGCCCGTTCTCGTCTGGGACCCGGACCGCCCGCGTGCAGACGCCCTGCTCAGCACTGCCCAAGCCTGGAGCGGGACCAGCTCCTCCAGGGCCCAGTCCCACCCTATCCTGCCGGCCCAGGCACCCCGGGGCCCGCAAGCCTGCCCTGGGAGAACGCAGGGTCGCCTTCCCTTCCGCTTCAAAGCGACACCTCAGTAACCGCGCTGCAGCGGGAAGGGGGTAGGAAGACCCGCGGGGAGTCCAACGCGACCGCCCAGCCATCCGCGCACCGGCGGCCGATCTCCGCCTGCGGTCCCGCACTCGGTCCCGCAGCAGCCGGCGCCCCCATATCGGCTCCGCTCCCGGCAAACGCTCGGCCGCCGCCGCACCGCCGAGGAGCCGCGGGGAGCCGGGGTGGGCGGGGACCCCTCCCCAGCCCCGCCCCGCCGCCCGGCGCCGCCCCTCGCGGGTTTCCCAGGCTCCGCGCGGCGGCCACCGCGGGCGGCCGGGGACCCGCGCTGCATGTGTAATGGGGGCCGGGAACAAAGACGCGCGGCACCCGGCGCCCCGGACCTTCCGCCGCGGCGTCGATGTCCGGCAGCCCGCGGGGGAGCGCCTCCCGCAACGCCCGCCCGGGTCCGCTCGCCCGGCACCCCCGGGGGCGGGAAACCAGTGCGGCGGCCTTGCGGGGAAGGCGCGTTCCGGCGGGACCCCGCGTGTGTACACCCACCTGCACCCACACACCCCCGCCGCCGCCGCCACGTGCCTCCCGCAGGCCCGAGCCACAGGGACCTGTTAGCGCGCCGTCCCCAGCTCCCCAGACCCCGGTGCCCAGAACAAAGCGGTGCGCGGCGCGCGCAGGTAGGAGGCAGCGCCAGGGCTCGCCGCGCAGCAAGCCGAGGCAGAGCGGGAGGCGTGCAGGGGGCTCCCGCCCCGGGCGGCCGCCCCGACCCGACGGGCCCGCAGCTGCCCGGCCGCACGGCCGCACGCACAGCAGCAGCGCGCGGGCGCCCGGTCCCCGCCCGGGAGGTGCGAGCGAGCGGCGCACAGGTGGCGCGGGCCGAGGCCGCGGCCCGCCCTTGTTGGTAAACAGCGCGCCCCCCGCGCCCCCGCGCCGCGCCCCGCGCCCCGCGCTTACCCGCGCACAGCGATCCCCAGAGGAGGGCGAGGGCCGCCCAGGGCGCCGTCATGTTCCGCGGCGCCGCCCCGCGGACACCCGGAGCCCGCGGGCAGGGGCGCGCGGGGCCGGGCAACAGCTGCGCTCGCCTTCCCGCGCCTGCCGGCGGCTTCGTCCCCGGGCGGCGTGCGGGCTCCAAGCGCCGGGCTCAGGGCCGCTGCGGGCGGCGGAGGCTGCGGCCCGGGCTCCGGAGCGACGCGGGGGCCGGGGGGCGGCGGCGGGGCGCGGGCCGGGGCGCGCCCGACGCGGGCATAGCGCAGCGGGGCTGGGCCCGGGCCCCCGGCGCAGGGGCCGAGTCCGGAGGGGCCATGAACGGGGGGAGGGGCGGGGGGAGGGGAGCTGAACCGAGTCCAAAATGGCTCCTGAGCGGCGGCCACGGAGCCGAGCCAGCGGGGAAACCCGGATGTTGGATACAAAGAGGCGGGCGCGCGGGGAGGGGGCGGGGAGGCGGGCCCGAGGGCCGCGTGGGCCGCGCCCCCTCGGGGGCGGGGCCCGGGGCGCCACCGAGCGCAGGCCACGCCCCCGCCCGGGCGGACCCGCGCGGCGGGGAGTGAGCCGGGGCCCGCGTGGGTCACTGCGCCTGGGCTTCCCGGCTCGGCGAGCCCGGGCGCGCGGTCGCCGGACACCTGTCGTCTTCCGCACCTGCTCCCGCCACCCCAGGACGGCCGTGTGGTTACCGACAGGCCAGTGCGTCGGAGTGGAGCGCGCCGGGTGTCTGCACACGGGCACAGCGGGAGGTCCTGAGGAGCTGTCACTTGGACGCGTCCAAGCAGTGCGACAGGGAGTGGCACCTTGCGGTCTGAGTTCACCCGAGCTTCAGTCTCCCCGCGTGGGAAAGGCTAGACCCCTCGAAGGGCTCAGGTAGAGACCTGTGCTCGCGCTGGGAGGTATCAGCAGAAGCTGCATCGGCCGCCTCCTCTCTGCTCGTGCCCGCCAGGCCGGCCATCACAGTAAGCGCCAGGGCCGTCCCAGGTGCCTGCACACCTGTGTCGTCCACCCTGGGCTTTCTGGGAGCCCCAAGTTTGGCAGCCCCTGGAAGCTGGTCTTCCCAACACAGAATTCCCCGTAGCTCTCCTCCCTCTCTCGCCCCTGTCTGATGTGTGCTGTAAGCCGCGTCTCCGATGGCTCAAATCAAAACTTTCTATGAGTCATTCTTGATTTATCCCACGTCCAGTCCCTCAGCAAAGAGAACCAGCCACCAAAGCAGAAGGAGCTGAGAGACCACGTTCAAAAACAAAAGCAAAGAGGAAGACAAATCCAGAAGTAAACGGCGTGATGTGTCAGGGACTTAGACAAGAGCGTGCCGGGCAGCTGCAAGATAGGGCTCTCTAGATGAGGTGGGAAACTGGAACGTGCCTGGGCTCCCTCAGAAACCTGGAGAATCGTGGAGGTGCTGAGAGACACGGTGGCGGGTTAGGGACAACATAGCTTATCTCCCAGGGTTGGCGATTACGGCAGGGTTGCCCAGAGGGCAAGATGGTGGTCATCACCCAGACACAGCAAGCTGGATTCCCACACCACCGTCTGGCCACTTCTCCCCAAATGCTGCCCACGCCCACCACCATGGCAGCAACCCGGAGAGGACCCTCGCTGGTCACCTCAACCCAGCAACTGAAAGGAATCTCGTCTAGGCAGAACTCACACCCCCTTAGGTGGGGGTGCACCTGCTGTGGTTTCGGTTACTGTGGAACAATGGTCCAAAAATATTAACCAGAAATAACTCACAGGTGTCAACGTGGGTGTCATCCGAGTTGTGTGATGAACTCAGGCAGTGCCGCTCCATCCATCCTGGACCCGAGTCATCCATGTGAGGCACAGGCACGCGGTGCGGGCTCCCTGCCCGGCGGTCACACAGACCTTAGCACACCCAGTGCTTGTGTTCGGGTCACCCTTGCCAGAGTTCACAACAGCCCCAAAGCACAGGCACAGGGACGGCGGTGATTCAGATAAACCGGAGAGAAGCCATGAGCTGCTTCCTTTAAGGGAGGTGAGCGTTCTAGACTTAAGAAGAAAGTCATGGGCCGGCGCCGCGGCTCACTAGGCTAATCCTCCGCCTGCAGCGCTGGCACACCGGGTTCTAGTCCCGGTTGGGGCGCCGGGTTCTGTCCCAGTTGCCCCTCTTCCAGGCCAGCTCTCTGCTGTGGCCCGGGAGTGCAGTGGAGGATGGCCCAAGTGCTTGGGCCCTGCACCCCATGGGAGACCAGGAGAAGCACCTGGCTCCTGCCATCGGATCAGCGCGGTGCGCCGGCCGTAGTGGCCATTTGGGGGGTGAACCAACGGAAAAGGAAGCCCTTTCTCTCTGTCTCTCTCTCACTGTCTAACTCTGCCTGTCAAAAGAAGAAGAAGAAGAAAGTCACATGTGGGGAGTGCTAGAATCCGCAGGAGAACGAATCCTTCATCTGTGAATTTGAGGAGGAAAAAGCAAGCTGCACTCCCTCTGCAACACCGCGGACATGACGCACGGCTGCTGTGTGATGAGTGGATACGTGGAAGCTGCCATCCGCGGGGTCCCCTCAGCCGTTCCTCCTTGCCTGGACCGCCGCCCCAGCAGGGTGGGGGCTTCTTGTTAGGTCAGCTCCATCCGCGCCCGCTGGCCTCGCGTCTCCCATCCCCAGCCGCTCGCCCTGGCCTGCTTCTCCCTCCTGCTGCTGCAGTACCCCTCCCCCACTTCTGGAGAGCCAAGTCTGTTGGAGTGAACTCGGGGGGGGGGGGGGGGGGGGCTCTGCCCGGGCCGCCGTGTTGTTCATGAGCCCCTCGCACACACGAGACCGATACAAACATCCAAGCTGCCCCCACGAGGAAGCTGAGGGCGGTGAGTTCCACCACTAAGGCACTCCCACCCCAGTCTCCCGTCCTCAACAACCAAGCTGAGAAACAGGGACTGGGAGAGTGAGATGAACGCCACGGCCGTCCTATCAAGCTGTTGGAGGGAGATGGGAGACCTCAGCGTCGTAAGACTCGGCGTCCGTAAAACCGTAGTGCACTTCCACGTGCGGTCGGACGCACTAACCTGGCAAGGCACACTCTACCTGGACTTCCTCGCGTCGGCCCCAGCCTCTCACCTTCTGAGAGGCTGTACAGATGCGGGGGGGGGGGGGGGGGGGTTGGCTATAGCAGACTCATACTGAACTCATCTCCAGGGTGGGGGGCGGGAGTGGAGCATGGCTCCTTCAGCAATGCAGTTCCCCAGAATGTCCTGAGTGTGGAAGGCGGCCCGGGCCTGGGAGGCAAAGGGAGCCCTCAGCACCCCAGCTCTGCCTGGAGATGCGCGT